TGTCATCTCGCGGACCCCAACCAGGTAGTCGACAATTACCGACATGGCTAAGTCCACTCGTCAATGACTTCATGGATTTCTGCCATGTTTTGGTCTGGCCGCCCTTAGCTTTCTTCCAACCTATTCCTACACTACAAAACAAAGCTCGACGAGGCCTTTCGGTGGTTCGGCATACGCAACACGTGTCCCAACCACCTCAACTGATGAAGTTTCACCACTTCATCTATTGATCTGCCATTCTTACCTAGTACCTGTTTCCTAATAACAGCGTTGCTCACTCGGTTGTCCCACGATATAATGTATACGGGTAGATTTCTTTACATTGGATAAATCATGTGTAATTTACTGTTCTAATAAGGTATTCGGCAAACAGTTAAATTTGTTTACTTTACTATTATGGTGATAATTTTCTTACTCTGGAATCACGAATCAATCACTACTGTAAGACCACCATTATTAGAAACCTGGAAGCAACTGGACGGCTGTATCTTCTTAGTATGGTACTCATCAGAAGTATGCATTCACAACTCCCGCTACTCTCAAGGATCGAACCCTGGATCTTCGATTTTTTTTTGCGCACAACCCATACTAAGACGAAATGGCTGTCCAGTGCTTCCAGATTTCTTATTGTGATCTAACAATGATTCGTTCATGATTTGAATGTAGATCATTTAAATATTATTATTATTATTGTTATTTACAAAAATGTTTTTTTTGTATTTTTTTTTTCTTTAAATTTACAGTGTTATGTTTCTGTTGATCGCTTGACAAAATTTTTGGCTCATACAGAACTTGATACAAATTCTTATTCAACAGAAGATACACCTGGTATAGCTGTTGTAGTTGAACGTGGAGTATTCGGTTGGGATCCAGATGAAGAACCAACCTTAACAAAGTAAATAATTTTTATTTAGCTATCGGAATCTACTTATTTGATACTATGTTCTTTTATGTTCTTTTCTAGTCTTAGAATACAATTTTCAGACTTGAAAAATCTTACGTTAACAAATACCACTTTGAAGGTGTCACCAAATGACGATAGCTATCTATTTAAACTGAGATCTACAGCCTGTTAAATGAATGGTAGTTTGTGTACTTTTATGTTGAGTGCACTGGGCTTGTTTCATTCAGCCTTTGAACTAACTAATCTATCTATTCCTCTCGAGTTATTCGCACATCTTCCGACCTTGTCAACTGTTCGATTATATCTTGATTGTTTTTATTCGTGTCTCGCTTACTTCGCTTATCGCATGTATTTGGGCTTATTTTTGTCTGACTATATATAAATGTTTAGTCATGCCTCATTGCAATCGAGTTGGCTCGCTCTCTCTCTCTCTCCACTTCGCTTCGTTTTGTTTTAAGGTGCTGTCTGCTTGCCTAAATGAATGGGTGGAATAAATTCATCCAATCGCATCTCTGTATATGGCTTCTTTTACTACTGCGGTTACACAAACGGATTTCGCCTACGTATGATATACAGAAACTAAAGGGAAGAATTGTTTCATAGTATATATAATTATTCGTAAATATTGAAGTCAGATCAACGGGCTACTAAAGTAGTAGTAGTAAGCCTTACTTAGAGTTTAACACAGCCGCTAAAAGACTGTTTTGTATTAGAAAATCCTAATACATTGATACACAGGTGTATTTTTCTGTTAAGCAAGAAAATAAACAACCCTTTTACAACATAAAACATATCGAAAACAGGAATGTTGAAGATTATTATCATTTATTTTGTATTTTTAAAGATTCCCATTGTGAAAATTAGAACAACACATATAAGCGAACAATATTGTTTTCGATTAGATCGTCATCAGGCTTTACTCTAATATGCATGAATATTTATATGAAAATGTTAAACCAATCAAGGCAATTTGAGTGATAATCATCATTGTAGATCAGGACACCAGAAAAGAAAAACTTTTAGAACAATTCAACAATGTACATCCGGCAATCACGTTCACTGGTGAAGAAGAATATGATAAAAAACTGTCTTTCCTTGACATCACACTAAGTAGGCGAAATGATGGTTCACTAAGTAGAAGCGTGTATCGAAAAAATCCCAGTGCTTGCCAATACACTCACTTTTGTAGTTTTACACCTATCCGCTACAAAAGAAATTTGGTTAGATGTCTCACTTACAGAGCAAATATGATATGTTCAATGGATACTTTAAGTCAGGAGCTGGAAGTCATCAACGGCTCACTAACCGAGATTGGTTATCCAAGCGCATTCATAAAGAAGTATATGTTTGCCGTAAAAAAGAAGTCGGTGGTTTCGACCGCCCAAAAGAAGCCTTTGTTTATGAAGCTACAATTCGACGGAGATGTGGCCTGCGATACTCTGCAGGACAGATTAAGAAGAGTAATTAACAGAACATTCAACGCTGCAAAACTTGCATTGACTTTCTCCAGTCGACCTGCGATGTCTACTCAAACGAAGGATAAGTTACCTGAGCTGGCCTCCTCTATGTGCATTTACAAATTCAGCTGCTCCTGTGGAGATAGCTATATCGGGCGTACTTCCAGGCAACTTAACCAACGAATGAGTGAACATCTCCCAGCATGGTTTACGAAGGGTCAGTCAAAAACAATACGCAGTTCTATCTTAGCACACCTCGTAGATAGTGGTCACATTGTAGATAAATCTAGATCTTTTCGGGTGATCTATCGTATATCTCCATCATTTCCCAACGGAGTTCGATCCCGTCTCCTACACATTGCAGAGGCCATAAGAATACGTACATTCAACCCTTATCTATGTGTTCAGAAGAAATTCGTGACATATTTTTATTATTTTTTGATTTTTTTCTTTTTTATTTTTACACATTTGCTTATTACGTAATGTTTTTGATGTTTTTGATGATTATTTGAATTCTATTCATTCACCCTTGACCTACTTTAGTTATCATATTTTATAAATTTTCTTACTACTATCAGTACACCTGTTTTCCTATTATCCACTTGAACTTTTGCCTATTAGATGTAGTTACGTAATCTTTTTCATTTCATTGTGATTATCACTCAAATTGCCTTGACTGGTTTAACATTTTCATATAAATATTCATGTATATTAGAGTAAAGCCTGATGACGATCTAATCGAAAACAATATTGTTCGCTTATATGTGTTGTTCTAATTTATTTTGTAATTAACAGTTATGTTAAAACTTATCTACCTGAGTATTTATCGTTCTTCCATTCAGTTGAAAATCATACAAGCAACTATCTACCGGAATTCAATCTGGAACAGCCGCCTTTGCTTTTGAACTTAATACTATATTTAGACCTAGCCAGGTCATGCGGACAATAAACAGTCCTGAAACACACACACACACACACACCAGTTCTCTATACTAATTAGACGAAGTTAATTGAATATGATTATGCTCTCATCTTGTATGCAAGTTTCAGTGAAGTATTTTAGATGTTAACGATACGAGATTCTAGAACCCTCTAGCTCTAATAAAGCTTGTTGTTCCATTTAAAACATAAATTTTGAATAATAAACATTCCAACATGTTGTTTAGACCACAATTATGGGTGACTAGGAATAACACACTTTACCAACTCAAATCATTTTTCGTAGACATCGTCTCACTGTGCTAATACGATAATCTATGTTTATCTTCCCCCTTTTTACTAATTTCAAATGTTATCTCCTTTTAACCCTAATATTAGTTATTTTTAAAAGATAAAATGTGTGTTTTTTTTTCCAACTAGTAAATAGTTCACTTTGAAGTTATGAATAAATACTGGTTAATTCCAGTATAATCGTTTAAAATGTAACGATTTGTGTATCTAACTAGTAGTAGTGTGGTGCTGTGGTGAGAACTACTTATAAGTAGTATATAACGTGAGTGTCAACGTAAAGTCTGGTAGCATAATATGCGGGGAAGATCAAGAAAGGAAGAGTTAGAAAACAATGGAATTTGTATGAAACGCATGAATAGTGACAATGGATTGATGTTTGGCAACAGGAACAGTCCATTTCGATATGATGAACTGATCTTTTGCAAATGAACGATTTACGATATGGTTTTCCTATTTTACTGAGTAACTCTGTAATTTTCGTTGAATGCAATCCGATTGCCCCACCTGTGTTCTCATTCACTACAGTAGGAGGTACTTTGTATACTAGAGAGAAAGAAGCATAGTAGTAGGCAGAGTAGCGTGTGCATGAGAGGAGGAGAGTACTGGAAAAAGAAGAGAAGAACAAAAGAATTAAGTCGATAACTAAACAAGCGTACCAAATGTATCTCTGTTCGCTAAGGTTAGTTATAAACGTCAATCAACAATCTGGGGAGCATAAAGAAAAGCTAATAAGTGTAACTGTGTGTATAAGCCATTATTATAAAATTGTTATTGCATTCTGTGTTAATCTGTCTTAATCGAGTGCCGTCAGTAACTACCAAAGACAAATCGATGATGTTACGCAGAACCCTTAGGTTGATTAGAGTTAGACATTAACACCATTGGATGCTAGCTCAGCGGTTCAGAGGTTAAGCGTTCTCGCTCAAGACCGAAGGTCCTGGTTTTGAATAATTCGGGTAGCAGAAGTCGTGAATGTGCTTTATTGATAAGTCCCATATCAGGATGAAGCGGCCATCCAATGGTTCTAGATTTCTAATAGTAGTAGTCTAAAAATGATTTATTCATGATTTCGTGATAACTATAAGTGTTTTTAGCTAGCTGAAATACGCATTGAACAATTGAATGCGAATATTACAATCAATACGATCTGAGATTGCTATTAGTAATAAGTGGTTGTTTTGAAATATCTCATCATCAATTGAATATCTAAATTTCATTTACATGACTTTTGATGATGAATATAATGGAGTGAAAGCATTAATTATGTCATGGATTTATGAATTGGTAAGAGAATGAATGATAGTCTAAATTGAAATGATGAATTGATCAATGTTAGATCATCATCATTAGAAACCTATAAGCAGTTGAACGGACGTTTTGTCTTCTTAGCATAGGACTTATCAACTATGCTGTTCGCAACGCTTGCTCGTGGGAATCGAACCAGGCATGAAAAAAGCGTCCAGTGCTTAGAGGTTTCTAAATAAAGATGGTCTAACAATTATCAATTCATTTCAATTAAACTCAACAATCTTCACAACTGTGCAATGAGAATAATACTGATTATGTGTTACAAATTGAACTTAAGCCCGAAAATATGAATAATAAGACTGTTATTTACTGACTGTAATAATAGTTTTCAAACTATGAAAATACAACAGTCGATCTTTTCGGAAGTCACTGATATACAAAACCAAAGGATCTGTAACTTCAAATCGAATAATTCACTCAGTACTACATAGAGTATTTTTATTTATCTAGCTGACAAGAGTTTATAACCTATTTATCAAAAAAAAAATACATTTGTCGATAAAATAATTTAGGTAGGCGTTTCTGTCTACACTTTTATCTCTTCATCGTTATCTCTGTTTTTATATATCCTCAACTGATTTACTCATTCATTGTTCCTATTACCTCACTCTCTCGGTTTTATTGACTATCCTCAATTTTATTTCGTTCTACCCTCTCTTATCTTCTTGTTTATAATACTTAATTTTCCTACATAGATATGTTATTGGCTACTTTTTATATGGTCAATAGATTTATATTGAATTCATGAACTTGATTGTGTTATTTTTCTTTCCTATTTGTCCAGTTTGTTTTGTAGAATTAAGTTCTCATTGAAATGATCAACTATTAGAAACCTGGAAGCAATGGGTCTAGTATGGAACTTATCGGCAGTGCGCATCCACGATCCCGTGTGCGGGACTCGGACCCAAAACCTTTAGTCTCACACGGGAACTCATAACCTATGGACCACTGAGCGAGTATCCAACGGTATCAATGTCTAACTTTGATTAACCAAGGTATT